AATGTTTTTTCTTAATTTCAATTTAATAATTAGTACTTGTTATAAAAAATTTTAATTATGCTTATAAGTATATGTAATTTCATTAATACAAAGATATAATTATTGTCATATCTAAAATAATTAAAACTTAATAAATAATAACTTTATCATAAAAAGTTATATATAATATATTGGAATTGTTAGTGACACGGATACTAAAATAATAGTTCAAGAAATTATATAATTTCGCTATTTTATTTAAAACGATGAAATTATTCGCGTTGTGGGGCATTGTTTTTTTATGCGAACGCAGATATGTAAATGGTACTGAGGCAAATATGCCTTCTTTGTTTGCGAACGAGAATTAATCTCCAAATTTTTCGTGCGCGAGAGATAAAATTAGCCGACTTCGGTTACCGAAGCGTCCACGTTGACGGGAGAGACAGGCAAAAATTAATCGTTCTCGTCAACCGCCCAAGAGTCAACTGATGCACGTGTAATCCTTGCGATTTCCCCTAGTAGTAGTATAATGCTTCGGAAGAAATTACGAAAAACAAGAATAAATAGATAAAAAAATCAGAAAAGGAGACAGTGATGATGTGATGCACGGGCGTGCTTCGCCATGTATTTCATTTCTACGATTGCAGATTACGGTGGGAAGGACCTATTTTTAAAAATTACGATGCACCATATATATCGGCCGCCGCGTGACAACCTGGCAAGGCTATATATATAGGCGATAAATTGTTTTAAAACCCGTTGCGCATTTATAATGGATATATCCGCGTATGGTCTCGCGAACGCTCCATAATCCTTCCGCTCAGTGAGAGACACAAAGATAAAAAAAAAAAGTGGAGACAAAAGATAGGAGCTCCGAATATAAATGCCGGCTCATATTTCTAAAAGATTTACAATGCGAATCTCACTTATCAGCATATAAATTGCAAATCTGTAGAGGAGCAAGCCATTGAGGAGACAAGTTCGCCATTTCTACGGCTGTCTTTTTAGCAGTCGATGTAGCGAATTCCGTTCCTCTGTCTATATCGCTACAATCCAGAAGGGAGCAGCGAAGCGCTAACCTAAGGGTTACTTAAGCTAGACTGTCGGAGCAACAACTTAGTCTAAAGGACCGGTCACCGTATCGTGGAGTAATGTTGAAACTTTCCTCTAGAATTATCGCGAGTATTTCACCTGAAGGAGCCAGATATACCCGCCCATTGTGTTCTGTTCCATGCTTGGAATTTAAGCATTCAGATGGAGATAGCGCAATTTATTATGCCGGGCCAAAGTTAACTCGTCTTTAATCACGTCGAGTGGCGCGCGTTGTTATCTCGATAGCTTTTATTACAAGCTCAAGCTCTCTTTAAAAAAAATTTGCTATTCAAATCTTAACGTCGAGCGAGAGGAATCGATCGGGAATTGATTAAGAATTGTTTAAGAATTCATTGGATGTGTACGTCACTCGAGGTACGTTTGATTGTGCACGATGCTCGTAGTTACACGTGCCTCTAAAATTGCTTAAGTTAGACATTACGACATTAAGCTGATACAAGTAGTTTCAACCTGCTTTAATTGCCTAGGGCAATAGTGGCTTATCTTGATGACAACGTTGCGTGCCGTCTTTACTAAGCACGTTGCTTAGGAGTACTTTACAATTATTGTGAACGTTCACCTACTTCTGTTTGGAGAGTAATTTCTGCTCGTATCGATTTAGCCCGAAGCGACATTAATTAATACTTTAATGAAATCGTGATGCGATAAGAAAATAATAAAAGAAACATATAAATTGTGGGAAAGTCTCGTATTTCCCCACAATTTAGATATTATTGCGAAAGTATTTATTATTGTCAGAAAAGGCATTGCTGAAACATATTTCTGAAATTGATTTCTATCATGCAACATCCTGAAACAAATTCCAATTAATTATGAAAGTATTTTGTAATGACATTAATTATATAATTTAATATTTTGTTAAATATTTAAAACGATAATAATATCAAATAATCAATTGTATTGGATAAAATTTAAATATTCAAACGTTATTCACATATCAACATATATGAAAGTGGAAGTGTTTATTAAAATATTAAAATTTATATACAATCACAAAACTTGGGAATATAGAGATGCATATACTTTATAAATTATTTATCAATTGTCCTTTACATTTTGATGTATAAAAAGTTACATGTGTAAAATTTCTTTTTTTGGATAACAAAAAAAACAAAAGTGTGTGATGTTTTGAAAATACGTTTAAGTTACATCGTATTTTTCATATATTTTCAGTTCGTATTTCTCCTTCGTAATAACAATTTCGAGAATGGCGACATGAAGTATGAATATTAAAATTTTGATCGCTCCAATGCAAACATCGCTATTTCTGCCACAGAAATAACTCACGTAATATACGGAAAATTCTCATCTGTTAATATATACCTGCAATGGGGAGTTTGTCGTCGTTTAACGCGATTTTTCACTGCAGCTGCGAGGTCTTTCGAAAGAAAATATTTCTCCGCCCTTCGTGCGGTATCATCCATAAAAGTTTACGTTGACGTGTCTGAAAGAACTGTTTACCTATTACGGTCGGGATTTTACGGCATTCTTTAAACTAGCTGCCACAGATCGCGATGGCGTCAGACATAATTTTTATTGTCGATGCTATGACCTCCGTAAAGTAGCCACATTGCAAAGTGGTATCGTGCGTGACATTGCGCATTAAAATACAATCGATTAAAACATACAATGCACTATCATTTAAAGCCATTTTAAACATGAATTAATTTAAACATTATTTAATTATATTATTAAAGTAATATTTAAATAATATTTTAATAAAAATTTAACAATATTTCACAGAAATTGTTAACATATACATAAAATAATGTTAAATATTTTTAATATCATAGTATATATCATTATATTTGACATTCGTAATAATCGTTTCCATATTTTAAATTTTTATAAATTTTTACATGATACAAAAATATTTGAGAAGCTTATTAAAATTTGTATTTGCAATGTTATTTAAATCTAATATTATAGAATGCTTAAACAAAATATAATATAAAAATCTTTGTTTAAAACAATTTTATGATTCTCTTGTATCAAAAATTGTTCCATATAGACACTGTTTATTCAGTTGGAAAATTAATTTTAAACTTTCCATAGATAGGTAAACCGCGGACCGCAGTTTGCTAGCCGCGTGCGAAAATTTCGCGAAACGCGATAGCGTGGAAATAAATACGCTTGCGCAGACACTATCACTTCATGGATGGTATTTTGCAGAAATATAATCTTCTTCCAGTGTACTTCTCACATTCTTTGAACACAAGTTTAACAGAATTAGTTTATTTTTCTACAAATTATATATTTGTGATATCAGGATTTTCTGCTAGATGTCATAAACTATTTTTTGAATCAATTAGGAAATATCTTTTTTACAACTTCTTTCCGCATGTTACAACACATTAACTTTTATATGTATTTTCTCGGAAAATAAATTGGATAAAAAAGATCGGCAAAAAGAAGGGAATAAATATTTTGTGATATACAATATCTAAATTATTTTTTTCAATTGTTTAACAAATCAAAATGTTCTGTAAAATTATAAACATAATGAAATAAAATTATAAAATACTATTGTAAGGAGAATGGATTAATATCTTAGTGTATTAATTGCTGTTAAATTTTGTACTGGAGATATACTGAAGATGTTTCTTTGTGAAATAATGCCACACAACTCAAGTTTCTAATTGCATTAGGAAATACAAGACGCAGAATAATTTCACGAGAAATGGAAACTCGTGAAAATATTAATGACATGCAAATCATCGAATGAAATAATTGATAATCACAGATTATGTAAAATTGTATATATTTATTAAATATATGTATTATTTCGCAACTAGTCATTCAATTAAAAATATTCATATTTTTTTATTTTTCAGTTATTCATTTCAGTGTATAATTGCAGATAATACAATAACTGTATCTTATTCTTTAAAAAAAATAATGACACAATAAAAATAAAAAAATATCTTTATTTACAGAGATGGATGTATGTCAGAATCAAATTAAATATATTTTTATTTGCATAGAAATGTAAAATAATATTTGCAAACAACTGCATTTATTTATACGAATTTTTTGTTGATTTCATATATCTAGAATTGCGCCATTAAATTTATTACAAAAATATTACAATATTTAATCTGATAATTTATTATTTTTGACATTTGATGAAATATAATCATGCGATATAAATCTACACGTTTTAATAATAGCGTATGATACTATTTCTTCAATTTAATTACTGATTATTGATCAGCGGTTAAATTCACTTTTAGGAAGAACGTTTACTTTTACGAAGAACATATCAAATCGATATTTGAATATATCAAAGTCAATTGTTACTGTTTTTCTCCGATGTTGATTAACTCTTTTGTGACGTTTATTTCAAAAATGAGCCGAAACAAAAAAATAAAATTTGTTTATGTTAGAAAAATAAATCTTTTACAAATGTTTTTATCATTAATTATTACAAAATATTAAATTACATTATTACAAAATCTCTTTCTATATTATAAATATATCATTTTCAGATTTTCCGTTTTTGTAAGACGGTACAACGAATACAGAGTACATCGAAATGCGTTTATTGGCGTTACTTTTCTTTATCATATCTTGCGCCCTCGCTCGCTCGGCGGTCGGCATCACAGGAATGATCGATTCTGACTTCGTCTATTTCCCTGACCAAGAGGACTACATCAAACTCGCTGTGAAGTGTAAAGATAACATGATACTGTGGCCAGCGAATCGTCAGTGTTACAAGGAAGGCGAGCAAGGTCCCTGTAACGTCGGTCGAGTACTGATATTCGACCGTCGGTTACTAAAACCATATTGTAAAGATCTTATATTTTAACATTTTTGTATAGAAAGCAATGTAACCAACTGCCGGCAATATGTAATTTATTCCGTATATGTACTGATGTATAATAGATGACGGTAGTGACTGAATTTTCCGAAACAAGTTTCTGGGAAAAGGAAAATGTGTTCCGTTGAGGTTCAACTTTATCTGATGCAGACAAAAATATTTGTTTAAGTGAAACGCGTAAAAATTTCCATAGTGCAAGTATAAATACTATTCTTCCTGACCATATATATTCAATGTAAGCAGTTACATTTCGTGAAAATTATGTTACGCGATAATATGTACGAAAAAATAGATTGCCACACATGTCGCATTTGTATGGAAATATGAACTTCTTTAAGTATTCATTTCTATTAAAAAAATAGAATTTTATTAAATTTTAAACAAGAGATTGTCTGATATATCATACTCGATAATATATTTTAATTTTTGCTCAGGAATGTAGAAATTTTTTTAATACTTGCCATAATGAAAAGTGATGTTAATATAGTGCTGTACTTATTACTGTATTTTGCTAAATTTAGAACATAAATGCATTTATCTAAAATAAATCTTGCCGTAATTTATATTTACATTAATAATTGCTATATTAAATTGTACGTACTAGTTATTTTTAGATATATATAGATTTAATTTATAATATGTTTATCATTTGAAACCGATACGCTTCAATTTGTTATAATGTTATAATGTGATAAAAGTTATAAGTCCTCTTATGTCTTGATACTGTATTTTTTATAGGAAATTTTCTCAATTTAACATATAATTATATTATATATAATAAAATATATAATTTTTACTGATTGTTATTAGAAGATAATTATAAATAAATAAATTTAAAATTATTAATATATGAAATAAGTTGTGTTTTGCAAGTATATAAAATATCTACAGTTTTGTAAGTATTTACATTTATATCTTAATATCAGTGTTACATTTAGCATTTATTACAGGCATTTATTGATTTATATTTTTTCTTGATACTTAAAGATTATGTAAATATTAAAGAAATTAATTTGATGTGTTATTTGATGTATTGTTTGAATTATTTTGTACTTCTCTGTCATATTTATTTGTACTCAACAAACTGTTTTTAAATATTAGATTGCATTTTTAAAATTTTTTTTCTCGATGCATTTGTTGCCATTATTATAACTGAAAACGTAAATATAAGTGGATAAAAATAAAAAATGGAATAAAGCTTTTTGAGTGCCAAATATTCGTCTATGATACTGCTACATATCCGTATAAATTACAGATAAAACGAAATGGTAGGTACCATTGAAAATAAATACAAGCATTGAGCGAACCATAGACTCTTATCAAACCATATATGCTTGCTGGTATTTATTAATCGATCGTGACTTGATGTTCGAGGAAGTGGATAGAATGTCCCTCATACCTTGTTACTCTTCGACCAGGAAGGTTTCCTGCTCGTTCCCATGCAATATCTCAGGGTCCAATGTGACATCGATTCGCAATTTGGTACGATGGTTGACAATATGGAGAGGCGAGGAATGATTTGGAGCTACGAATGCTGGCCATGGCGCGGTCGTTTCGAGATATCTTGCGCGGCCCACTCTCCCTTGCTACCACCCTATGTACTTGATACGTGCGCAGGGTAACAAGCATTGCGAGATGTTTTCGATTAACCTCATTTTAAGAATGACTGTCGTTCTTTACTATCGGATGGAGGGCCCGATAGCCTCGTCGCACTCTCCATCTTTATTCCTTGGTAGGCGCGCAAACAGGTCATGATCAGGTTCTCCTTCACACTTCCTCTCCCTCTACTATATTAGAATTCTACTCGAGGAATCTAGAAAGGTTGAACTTCTCAATAATACGGTTTATAATATTATCTGTATTATTAATCATATTAATTTCGACGTCTGCCAATATCTGATGGTTAAAGAGAAAAATCACGAGAAGAATTATTGAAGCTTTAACACGGGACAATTATTTTCACGATAGAATTTAATAGAAATACAGGTATTTTATATTGGATGCGTCACATAATGCAGTGAAGCATGCAAATTCTTTTACGATATTCTGCAATAAGCTAAAGCGTATTCAAATTTGATAAATATGTGTAACGTTATTTTAGTTCTATTATTATTTCTTAATAATTTTTACCATTCTCCAAAAAATGCAAATTTAATGCATAAATAAAATTAGAATGCAAAATTATCAATTAAACTGAGAGAATAGCTGGTAAATCTGATGACTTTCATGTCAAATCTTTCAATTATTAGCTCGAGCTTTATATGTTACGTGAAAGAAATGTAAAATAAATTTTGTCAGAATTATAATAGTATATAGCAATCCATTTATATCAAGCGATATATGATATTAAAAAAGTTTTAGTTTTTTTTATATATTTTGTAAAAAATTATGCTTTAAATATAATTCAATTAGCAGGTATATTAATTAAACGTAAATATATTTCACGAAGATATCCATTGTTTTTTATTCAATACTATGACTTTCAACGATACGTCATTCAATTTCCGTGCTCCGGCACATTGTTCTCCATCGCTTTAATTTCGCCACGTCCGCCTTTTTTAACTTATAACAGATTTCTCTTTGCAGAGGAAAATACTACCCACGCGCCGTGCTATTACGAAGTACGACGATTAAGACTCAGTGCTGCAATTCCAATCCTTTCCCGCTTGCATTGCCGTATTCATCATCTCAATTTTATTCCGCCAGCTCTAAGTTTCGCACAGGAGATTTGCCCGACCACGAATAAAATCGAGCGCGGATACATCGTCCCGCCTCGAGCGGAAATAAATCTGCAAACCTGCGAACTACGAACGGTCAAGGTAGATGTAATAGCTTGCGGAGAAGCGAGTTTGTCGGTCGCGCTCGTTACGCGACTTCCACTTCCTTTCCCTCGTTCGCTGCAATTCGTCATCGCAATTTCGCCACTTCGACTTTTAAATCCGGTGGACGAGCGGCATCGCAATATTCGCTCGAAGGGATGCCGCGATCCAAGCTACATTTGCGAGTGACAATGTTTAAAATTAAATTAACAGGAAGAGTATCTGGACCGCGCAGGCAGGGATTACAATTTTTATCAGCCTCGAGTTACGTGTCGTGATTTGCTTTTCATATCTCGCTTTAAATTCCATGACAATTATGTATCGTGTTCAACGCAAACTATGTTGTGGCAAGTTGAGCATTGTGTTTGTTATCATTATATATTTCGCACACGGATGGATTATCGTCGAACGTGAGATAAATATTGAAAGAGAACATAATATAAAATATCGTATTTAGCGATATAAGTAAAAAACAGTACAAGTATACAAATATAATATTAGTTTTAAGAATTTTATCAAAGTGTTCCATTCTGTGCTAACACATGACACAATTTAATTTTATTTTAAACGTGACGTTATTGAGATTCAAACAATCCCTCAAAATGTATCTAGAACGACATAGTTACGGAAGATAAATACAATGGAAATTCAACGCTATGCCATCGTATATACGATAAATGGTGTCTCACGAAACGCCAGGTCTCTTGGATGTGAACGGCTTAAATGTATATTCCAAGTAAACTCCATAAGAGGGTTAACAACGCTAATATCGCGGCCTGAATACGTGCCTTAGACCATGGACTATAATGCTTAAGTCCGTCTAATCGTTTCTCTGAAACAGTTAATCGCTCAACGATACGATTGTAACGAGCTACTATTTACAATACGATTTACAATACGATTATTGAATTTAATATTATAAAGACACAAAGAAAAGTTGTTGTTATTGAAGGCCATTTGACTCATTACATTTAAAAAGATTTTTTAAAAAACTCCTGAGTTATATAGACAAAGGAAAGGATATCTTGTTACAGCAGGAATAAATTATACTTATTATTTTATCAACTTTTATAATATAATTAAATCATTAGCATATATTTGTTATATTTATTCTATTTGTATTTACCACTGTAACAATTTTTTAAACGCTGACTTTATTGTTGACAAAGTCTTATTTTGAGAAAATAAAATTTGGTTTTGTTAATTTTATTTCTGGAACAGTTTACTTTATATTCTGATAATACTTAGTCTACTTTTTTAATTCTTAAATGTTGTGCGATATGTAAACTCTTAACGAAGGTTACTCTAACGGCCGACAGAAAAGAGGCGTTTGCCCAGGGGACAATTTTAACTTTCTCATGCCTATAGTTCCCGTATCCATAATTCCAACTTTATTCCTTGAACTTCCAACTTTTGCAGTATTCCAGAACGGGATTTGTTACTCGGTTAGCAGGACCGTCGGGTTAAGAACCGAGGTAAAACGAAGTATGTTCTTTAAGGGGTACGTCTTAGGACTTCGATATTTCTTATTTCGAATTTGCATCTATTAGCCTCATTTTATCCATATCCAATTTGTGTTAACATTTATATGACTATAAAGCTTGTTAAGAATAATGTAAGTTTAAACGTTATGTAGAGTGGTCATTTAAATACCGCGATGTCTTCTATAGAGAAGAGAAAATATTTTTAATTCCTTTGATATAAAAAAAAGCTATTGCAACATATAAATCTTGTAAATTAAACCATTGCTATATAGTTATCTACTTACAAGAGAAAATTGTAACATTATATAAAGTTAGCAGCGCCAAGAAGTATAAAAGTAAAGCAGTCATTATCGCTGTGTGAAAGTAGTAGTCGTTATTCTACCTTTTCTCTACTAACGTTAAAAAGATTATCAAAATTTGCTAATCCGTGAGAATTTTGACGCGCATCTCTAAAGGCGTCCAAAGATAATTAAATTCTGCCGCTGTCTGTCAAGCCACATCGCATCCCCGTCCGCGGAAATGCGAGATATCTCGTCATGTCCGTACTTGTCGGTGGTTATAGTGTACGAAAATGGATGATGGTCGAAGAGATAGAGATACGAGTAGATAAGAAGAAAATGTGAATGGTGAAAGAAAAGATCATTCGTCGACCTTGTACACATACGTACGCATTCACACATACGCATACGTATCTTTATATCATATCCTTATTTCTCTCGCACCATCTCCTTCCTCGACACCACAGAAAACATCTTATGGTAGTTTCTTGCCACGAAGGAATCGGCGACTGAGTTTTCGCCGTTAAGCCAAATCCCCGCGAGTCTTGCGTCGCGTCGTCGTCGTCGTCGTCGTCATCGTCGTCGTCGTCGTTGGAACGTAAAAAGCGGCTCGACGACGGCCGTCGTGACAAACGATCGTAGTCGCGGGCGAACGGTTTCCTCTCCCTTGCAAACCGTTACAGCGTCTTAAGCATCGTGGATGCGAAGATATACCTAGATTTGAGGTATGGATTGAGAGTGACACATCGGCACGTCGGGTTCTGCATTCGAGCTTTGCATTTATAAAACGTTTCTGAAAAGAGACGTGAGTCAGCACGGCTAAAGTCAGATGGATATTTCCACGATTATTTGGATATTTGTAGATAAAATATAAATATCTATAATAATTCTTTTATAACAAACATAATTTAGAACTAAAATTAAAGAAGTGTAATTCAAGATTAATAATAATTGCTGCATATG